TGCCTTAGAATCAATAAAGATAACTATTCGGTTTCGAGGACCATAAAAAATCGCCAAACTATTGTTGATGCCAGTGCTGCCAAAAGTAATTGTGGCAACCCTAATGCAAGAAAGGAAGTATAATAGTAAATAACTATCTAAGATTGATGTTTTAATTTAGATGAAAAGTTAATTTCATATAATACTTTTTTATTATTATAATTTATATTATAATAATAAAAAAGTAAACATGACTGAATGGAAGCATAAGAGTAAATAACTATTTCATATCATTATTATAATTTATATAAAAATTGCTAAACATAACTGAATGGATACCTGCATCGCTGTTTCTCTACCGACTTATCGCTAAAGCATAATTTCATCTCGTTGGTTGTTCAAACGTAATTTTCTATAATGAATGATGCTTTTTCTTTAAAAAAATTCTCAGTAAAGTGTAGAATCGCCCACTTATTTGTTTGCTGCTTTTTACAAGGGTAAAAACAATTGGATTTTTGTTAATTTTTTTTCACTTTTTAAGTGAAAATAGGCCAATGTGTACATAGATAAAGTCAAGGGTGTGCACAGTGCCATTTTTGTGCAATTCTGGGATTTTTTTTAAAGTGAAAATAAGCCGATGTGCAATTCTTAAAAACGCGTCAGGCAGTGGGGGATTCTGCAGTTTACCCAAAATACTATTGCAGACTTTTTGTCATGGGCAATTCTAAAATTGTTAAATCCATAGGATATTAAAAAAGATTTAAAATCAAAAAAGGATTTAAAAATTAAACTGGTATTTCGATGGCATCTTAGAAATATAAAACTGTATAAACTTACGCAATCTGAAATCAGCACGTATGCTAGATTTGGCGCACTGTTAAATGGCCGCATTTGCGCATACATTTGCGCTGCAATTTTTTTATGGTCCTCAAAATGGAATAGTATCAGATAATTTTAGCCTAGCTTAATAGTGTCCGTTATACATTATTGATTGTGTGTCGCAAGATTGGTGACAAAAGCTATGTTGTTTCTGTACTTACATATAAATGCCACCGCAGCTGCAGATTTGGCAGTTTATAAGTGGCGCCAATCTACACCTAAAATTTTTTCGACAAATCATAAATTAAAGCACTTTATTTAAAATAAAAACACTTTCAAAAATCAAAACACTTTATTTAAAATCAAAGTAATCAATCGTATTTCGGTGGAAAATGGGCCGATATAGAGTTTAACATAGATTCAAAACAGTCTCTATTTTCTTTGACCTGATGCTGTCACCATATTAATCTACATGCCTAAATGATACCATATGAACCTAAATGATGTCTCGCTGTTCCCCTATGCCTCTTGTTCCTCCATTTAGCATTGCCCCACATGCTCTCAACTGTTTGTGTATGAACTCCTGTATCAGAATCAATAAGATTGTATTTATGAATAACTTTAGCATGTAGGAATCCTTCTTTTTCTCTTCTGTTTGTTTGGTAAGCTTGCCAACTAGTATCAGAATAAATTGTGCTACCATCAGCGCAACTTCTGCCGCGTTGGCATTAATACGAAATACTGTTGTTTCGATAAATTTTGTCTTGCTCCTATGGAGTACTGAATTAAGCCTGAATTGTATTAGTTTAATTATTTACTATATCTACATTTATTTCTTGCTCATGCTTAAAACTAATCTGAGTCCTGAATAAATAAACTCTTACATATACTTAACCCTTTTGGTTGATCTTTAGATTATGGTAACTTGGCGAAAATGTGGCGACCAACTCTCCTACAGCAACCCTCTATTTTTTTTTTCAGTAAAGACATGTTTCTTTTCTTTTTATCTACTGAACACTTCTTCCAACAATCTACTAGCCGAATTACACTTATGCTAGAAATTTTATCTAACAAAACTGCTTAATCATGACAAATATTCACTGCACATTGGGAAAAAGTGCACAATACCATACTCTTTACGCATTTTTCAAAATAACACATACACATAAACCATGTACACGTCGACTTTTTTACTTAAAAAAAACATCCCAGAATTACACAAAAATGGCATTGCGCACACTCTTCACTATATCCTTGTACACTGCTTTTTTTCTCATAAATTAGAAAAATTTCACGAAAAATACATGACAATTTTCTGAATCTTTAAACCCAGTAAAAAAGAACATATATGAAATTCCCTGATCGCGAAAAGTATATACCCTTTCCAAATATGAACATTTCCACATATAAAATAAATAAAATATCCAAAAACTTTTACCTCTAAATATCTATTATATTATAAACGTCACCAACGAATTCATACGCAAGCATTACAAATATTTAGTGTCAAATATTAAATTATTTCCATGCACGTTTACTTCAACTAAAACGTTTACCAAATTCCTACAAACATAAAATTCACAAAATAACTATCATTTAATTAAAATATCACTAAACCATGTACACGTCGACTTATTTTTACTTAAAAAAAAAATCCCAGAATTGCACAAAAATGGCATTGCGCACACTCTTCACCATATTCATGTACACTGCTTTTTTCTCATAAATTAGAAAAATTTCATGAAAATGCATGACAATTTTCTGAATCTTTAAACCCGTTAAAAAGAACATATACGAAATTACCTAATAACGAAAAAGTATATACCCTTTCTAAATATGAACATTTCCACGTATAAAATAAATAAAATATCCAAAAACTTGTACCTCTAAATTATCTATATATTATAAACGTCACCAAACGAATTCATACCGCAAACATTACAAATACTTAGTGTCAAATATTTAAATTATTTCCATGCACGTTTACTTCAACTAAAACGTATACCAAATTCCTACAAACATGAAATTCACAAAAATAACTATCATTTAATTAAAATATAATTAAATCAAAAACACTACTTAAAATATAAATAAGCACATACATTAAATTAATAAAAATTAGCTTACAATCCTAATTACTTTAAACTAAATCATTGCTAATAACAATTTCCCAATAATACCAAATTATTTTACTTCCACCTTACATTTAGAACAATGCATAAAAATAATATCCTCAAATAATTAAAAATACTAACTTACCTAATCTTCTTCAGAATCTTGCTTACTTGGTGGATACACTTTTATTATGGATTCGCAAAAATCCACGTACACTTCCCTACAAAAAGAATTCCAATCAGCTGCAGTCATACTGCTAATTTCTAAATCCGAAATCCAATAGTCAACTGGCAATCTATTAAACGCATTAAACACATTCACACAAACGCATTAAAAATCTAGAATTCACTTTAGACAGCGCCATACAATCCCAAAATTATTCAACCCTACTTCACACAACACACAATGAAGCTTAATACAAAATAATATACAGCCACAGATATTTTTCCAAATTCCCCCCTTTTCCGATTAAAGAACCGTAGTTCGTCCATTAATATCACATGACATATCCCAGATCTTCATTTCCTCCAAAAATAAGGAATCGACTGAGTACGTCAATATTCAAAGTCCAGTGAACTTATCGATCAAATGTCGCCACTACCAGTTACCATATTCTAAAGATCAGCCACGCTTTTTCTAGGGCCGCCAAATACCACATAGCAGTCTCTATGAGTCCTAAATTCTACTACAAAGTGCCTTCCCAAGTTCTAAATTTTCACCGCACTTTAACTTTGCATCCATTCTAAATCATAAAAAACTTCTCATCCCTTAATTTTCCTGCTCGGTGCTTCCTCAAATTCTAAAAATTTCGTCTTCCCTAAATTCTGCCGCCGCTTCTGGGTTTATGGTGAATAACATATCAGTTATTCTTAATTAAAATAGCACTAAATGTAATCTTTTGGCCTATGAGTTTCATTAACAAAATCTATTTTTAGAATATGAAAAGAAATTTTTGTTGAATTTGCCTTGTCAACATTTATTAAAGCATTTAAAAATCTATAATCATGCCAAGCTAAGTTAGCATAAAAGGTTGCCATACTCTTGTTATTCAATTACTAATATAAAAAAAGTTTAAATATTATTGCATAAGTTATTACTGAAGCTGTCATGTATTGATAAACATGCAGTTTAGTGAAGAAAGCAAAATATAATAAATAATGACTTGCCAGGTCGACATCATGGATATAAAATAAGTGAATATTTCGATAAGGTGAACAGTTCGGTTTGAGATGTATGCCAAGCAGACAGCTACAGATCCAAATTATTAATCTCACAAATTTATGCTTACATGATTGTTTTTCCATAACAAGTTATTTTATTTAGTGCCTAAATGAATTTAAGAATCGAAATTTTTAAATGAAAATCTCCACGTGTTTTATTATGGAAGGAAAAATCAAATGCACATGTGTAAAAAAAAAAAAAAACCCCCCAAAAAAGTTTTTGTGGCTTTTGAGGTCTGGATTTTAGATCATTCCGGATAATGGACGTCGGATTTCAGACTTGGCATCATCTCAATGGTTATATTTTTACCATTATTTATGATTTTGCACAGAGGGCTTTGTTATCCAATTGAAAAAGTGATCTTTTATGCAAAAAATTGAACCAGTGCTTGTTTGATATCTTCTTCATTTTCGAATTTTTTACCCTTCAAAAAATTTTGTAAAGATGAAAACAAATGATAGGCGAAGAGTGCTAAATTCAGAGAATATGGTGGATGCGACAGAATTTCCCAGCTTACTTCTGCAATTTTTTGACCAGTCCCCAAAGCAGCATGTGGCAACATTGCATGGTATTATCATGATTTGGTATGATGTCCTTAATATTGAACATCGCCGGCCTCTTTTCTTCGACTGCTGTCTTTAAATTATCCAGTTGCCGACAATACTTCTGCGAATTGAGCAGCATTTGTTCAGTTTTAAATGCTCATAATGTATTGGTCCTGGAATGTCCCAACATATAGACAACATTCTCTTATTCAGAGTCAAATTTGGTTTAGAGGTAGAAGGGTTAGGTTTTCTGGGCTCACAATATGCCCTTTTCCTTTCTGTGTTTTTGTAGGTAATCCACTTTTCATACCCAGTTATCATCTAGTTCAAGAAGGGCTCGATTTTGTTTCGAGCAAGCAGAGATGTGAATGTGACGACTCGATCATCTAAATTCTTCTGACTTAATTCATGTGGCACCCATCTTGTGTATTTCCACACCAATCCTTTCTTTCGAATATGGCCTGAAATGGTTTGCTGAGCTGAATTAAGCCCTTCTGTGATCTCCAATGTTGTCAGATAAGAATCTTGCTCAAACATGGCCTTAACAACATTGTCGTCGATCAAGCCGAGAACATGGCTTATTGGAAAAGTCAAAATCAACTTTTTCAAATTTTCGAACCATCTTCTGCATATCCTATCAGAAATTGTACCTTCACCGAATACTTTTAATAAATTTCTACATGCTTCTGTAATATTTCTTCCTTGTTGAAATTCGTATGAAATACAGTGGCATAAATGAACTTTATAAGTAGCCATGGATACACTAGTGCTTCAAACTTAAGACTAATATGAATCAACTTTGTTTTAGTTAATTTGCTACGTCAGTATGTATACATTAAGCAATAAAAATAGAGAGCCAAGCATATGCCAAATAAGTATATGCTTACGTGTCGAAAATTGTTGTCAGAGAAATGGACAGAACTTTCCGATAGACCGAATATTAGTGCAACCAGTTTGGTGCTTTTTGACAGTTTTTTACAGAAAAAAAAAGTGATTTGGTCAATTTTTCGATTGGGAATATAAGTGGATATGGTTACCTAAAAGACTGTTATGCACATGGTTGCCAGAGTTTGGCGATTTTTACTAAGGTGGTTGTGATAATACATAAGTACCATTTTTTTTAAATCGTTTTTTCTTAGCACATATGAAATGTTATATATATGTTCTGCCAACTCCCTTTTATTAGCTAATTTTGAATTTTAAACATATGAATCTATACAAATGTTAGAGGTCACCAAGATGTAAACTTTAAAGATTATCATATATTAATAATAATGTAAACTGATAATTTTTTACAGTCAGAAAATATGCATATAGTATAGTTAATATAAACTGAAGTTAAATGGCATTTCTTGTATTTTATTTAAAAGTAATTTGGTTTAAAAACTAAATAGTTTGTTATATTTATTTTCATTATTTATTTGAATTTTTCAGTCTTTTAACTTTTATTCTTAAGAAGGGACTTTTTTTTAATTGCTGTCTACAACATGATTTTTTTTATTTGACAAGATTGATCTTTCGTAAAGTTTATATTTTCAATTGAGAAAAATGTCATGACATGATAAATCTCTGAAATCTCCCAGTTTTATGTCAATTTAGATCAACTCTTTCTAATGCATTTCTAAATGAACTGTTGTTCACTAAGTTTCAGAGGAAAAAGAAAGGTAATTTTCCATTAACAAGGAACTAGGCCACAAAATGTTTGAAATTGTGCTAATATTTTCAATGTTATGCTATGAGAAGGTTATTATTTTTATGCTAGGAACCATGTGAACAGTGGCGTAAATAAGGGTATGCAAAGAATGCCGTCGCATAGGGGCCCTTTAAGTGTCCTGCTGAACTACATTTACGTGTTTAAACTTTAAGACGGATTCCATTACGTATATATAGAAGCTTTAATTCATTTTCCCTTGATGAGTTCGGAATTAGAATTTCTATAAAAGAAGATTAATTATTATTTTTTATCTTGTATTTTTTTTCCTTTTGCTTTTTATTTTTAGAATTTGTACTACTATAAATTCTTATTTTAATTTTGATATGTTTGTTTTTGTGGTTAAACCCCTTTTACACGATTGTTAATATTAATATAGTTGAGGAATCGCCTTGATTTCACTCCAATTTACTTTTAACTTTAAATCTTGAATCCATAAGTAGATGTAGAATGGATTCGTTTTCTTTTAAGTTATTAAGGGCCCCCCTACCTATATGGTGCAGTGATGCAATTCTCTGTATGATGCAGATAGGAGGCCCTTGGAAGCACCTGAAACAGCTAAATTCAAGTGCTTGCAAAAGTTAAAATTCCAGCATCCGACTATGAAATAATAACTTCATGACCTACGCCAGTTTAGGGATAGCATTGAGCGGAAAATAGGAAAAGTTCCTTTGTATTCCTTAGTCTCAAACCTGAAAATTATTAAAGGCAACCCCCCCAAAGGAAAGGTTTCTCCTTTTGCAATCCTAAATCAAAAAGTGCTGGAAGTGGAAATTAATTGTAACTATTTATTATGAAGTACTTATTTTATATATTAATTTGTTTCTGTATAATTCGCATTATGATCGAATAATCAGTAGACATATTTTCTAAGTATAAATCAAAGAAGTAACTAGGCAGGATTCTGGTACTTTGAAGTGAACTTTGCAAGTTAAGAGAAATCTTGGTATATTATTTGCAGTTCGTAATTTTCATAATATGTCATTCCGTAGCATTTAATTTTGTTCATATACTGAATCTCTTACTAGCTTTTCCATTAAACGCAAGTCCAAAAATCAGTCCTAATATTCAATTTGAAATTGAATTTATTAATGTGAATGTTTCTTAGAATTTAATATAACATGTATTTCGTTGGTTCGCTGTAAACGGCGTATCACTTTTCAAATTGTTGCCACCAAATAATTTCACCCAGTATTATTTTAAAAGAAATTAAATGAGGAAGAATCTGCATGTTTGAATGTATAGTTCTCACAATGTAAGAAACGATGGTACTTGCAACCTGTGCCGTTGCACCAAGAGGCAAGGTAAGGGACAGAAACATTTTGGATTTAGAAGCACGATTGACTTTACAAAATGGCAAAGTTAAAGGTGGATTGAATTTTTTTCTCTATTTTTTACACTAAAAAGCTGGAGGGGGGGAATCATTCATAAGTATTAATTGCTAACTTCAGAATACATGCTTTTCTTTCTTAAGGACACAAAATCATTGACGTAAGTTGAGCAGTTGTGGCATGAAAGGACTTTGCTCCACCCCCATGTCGAAATGCCGTTCTAGTCCAGGAAACGCAAAGAATTTATGGCACCACATTTGGAAAGGAGAGATTTCCCGTTCGGCTTATGGATCTTTGAATGAATTCAAAGTCCGAAAAAAATGGGGGTAGTTTTACGACAGGCGACGAATGCACAGATGCTCAAACATTAAGCGGACAAATATTTCAGTTAATTTCTGGCATAAATTTAATGAATTTTTTTTCATTAAATTTATCGAAATTCATTACTTTTTCACTCATGGGGGTAGGAAATGGAATGGATGAATATTTTTACTTGAAATAATGAGTAAATAAATATTTATCCAATTTTTCATATCAAAATTTTCAAAATATTCTCACATTGCAGATAAAATGCAGGTTAGGAATTCTTTAAAATCCCTAATCGAGAATTAAATCTGAAAGCACAGAACTCGTTTGAGGATTTACTTGATTTGCTTTAGAAAAGAGAAGCGCTGTAGTGTTTCTTAACCTGTAAATTACCCATCTACCAAAAATTCACACTTATCTTAAAAGATAATTCTGAAGACATTAAATTTGTTTTGAAAGTAATATATTAATCTCTCTTAATATCAAAATCGTCCTTTGAAAAAAATATAATAAATTACAATTTATTTTAACAAAGTGAAACATTTAAGCATATAATTGAGTAATGCACAATAATTTGTACGTTATTTAAACGGCATTGAATTGAATTATTATATAATAATAAAGCACTCGAGGACTATTTGCGTAAGGGGAAGAATGCCTTCATGGAGTACTTTCTAATCGTTATTTGAAATGAAATTTTACAATTTACTTTACTTTTGCTTTCAATTTACTTTCCACAGCATTCAGTTCATAAAATCATCAATAATAGTATAATAATGATAATAAAAATGGCATCGCACAACTAAAAGTATATACTACTTTGTAAATTTCGATAAATTAATTACTGAAAATATTAAACATATCAATGGCAGCGTTGCCCTAATAGATTTAAGTTGCATTTCAACATCTGAAAGAACGTGAATTACATTGTTATTTTCACTACACAAATGAATGGAATACTTCAGAAAAGAATGCTCCCCGTTATTGCAATATTTCAATAATTTTTGGAAATAAAAAAATTTAATTAACACGTTTTAATAGTAAAGATGCGATTTTCACTCATAAAATCCCTTTGTGTTTTTTTCCCACATTATTCTCTTTCATTTCGGCATCACTGCGTAACTTTTCTAAGACATAAATAGCTTCCGTTAATCTATGTTCTCATACATTATATTTATTTTTTATATTTTTGTCATTAATGATTAAGATAAAAAATTAATGATTAAGATAAAAAATTGATACTGCTTAATTTATAAGCAATGTAAAAACTGGAAATCTGAGGTCATTAATTTCTGAGACATAAATAGCTTTCTAAGACGTAAATAAAACAGATAACAATAATCAGAAATATTAATGCTCCTAAAATATAGCCGTGTTTCCTAGCTGATTTTTGCTTTCTGATCCACCTGGGGTACAACAAACCTATTTTCATTAAATGAAGTTTTGCGCATTTCTCTACGAAGTACGCAAAACTTGTTTCATACAATTTTATTTTTACTAATTATGAAGAAGAAACGTTATACTTGGTTTCCTAAACAAGTATTTATGTGTACAGTCAAAAGTCCGGACGTCGGGACTTTGGCGATTCCGGATTATGGGATTTTTCCGGATATTGGATCGTCAGTTTCAATCTAGTAAGATGGCATGTAAAAATTATAAAATTAAAAATATGAAACCGGTAATTTATGAAATCATGAAATATATTATGATCTAAAGGGTATCAAAATTACAAAACAAAGCTTAATATTTATTTGTTTACCTTTTTAAACATTTCGTTCAATGTATGTTGTTTAAGTTGCTTTGTTTTTTGTGATAATACTTTCTTCTTTAATTCCATAGACAGACATAATTCTCTTTTTCAGTTACATTGTTGTAAGTCTTGGAACCGCTGTTTGGAGCATTCCGACTAACTTGTCAATCGAAATTTTTCGTTTCACTAACCTCTCTGTCACCTTCTTCATGTCTTTATCCATTTTTTGCAGCAATTCCACTTTTTGTTTGACGGACATCGAGACATACTTTCGTTTTGTAGATCCTTTGGGAGCTCCAGAATCGGGAATTGACATAATCGAAAGTTCAAGTTTACTTTTATAAAAATTGCTCTTACAGTTACCAAAAATAATAAGCCGCATCCAATTCGAAGATTAAGGAAACAACGCAATCATCAACATTAACTGAAATAGATAATTATATAATTTTAGCTTGCACCGTCCGTTATATATTAAACGCGCACGCGAAAACATATTCTGCACTTGCGCACACGCATATGCGCGTGCGTGTAAAGGTCATGCGCGTGCGCGTAAAGGTCTTACGCGCACGCGTAAACGCCTATGCGCATGTGTCAACGCGGCGCATGCGCAGAAAGTTGTTAGCTTTGAGGTCCGGATTATGGGTGTCCGAATCAGAAT